ATGTCCCTCCAGTGCTATCATATAATTTCACCTGAAAATTATGCTAAGAGGGCCTGCCTCCCCTGGTGGCGGTTGAGTGCTGGGCTGCAGCGCCGCCGGTTCGTTCCCTGTTCCCAGACCGCCGGCGAGGGTCCCACCCCCCCCCAAAAAAATATGCTAACAAACCTAAAATTTCACTGTCTTTATGTTAAGACTTTGTATAGCTGCAGTTTTTTTTTTTTTTATAGAGGCATGTTTTATTTATTTATTTGTTTGTTTGTTTTGTTTATACAAGCACTGGGTACAGTCAGAAGCACCGGAGGGTGAGAGAATTCACCAGAGCCAGAGCAGGTAACAGAGCAGGCAGAAGGACCGAAGTACACTGCTGAGGGGAGCAGCGGGCAGCAGAAGAGGTTTGTGCGCCGTGTGGGACCCTCCTCTGGTGGCCGGGGAGCAGCCGGGGATCGAACCAGTGCCGCAGAGGCTGCAGGCAGCTTCGCAACCCAGCGCTCAACCGCTGCGCCACCGGGGAGGCCCTGTATAGCTGCAGTTTTAATTTAAGCTCCCACCCAGCTAATTACTAGGGAATTATGTTACCTATTGGAATTTAATTCCATCTTTCTAGTACTAATAATTAACTGAAAATAAGGCCTCTTAAGAATTTTCAAACATGGGAAGGGAAAAAATAAATTTATTCCTATTTTATTAAAGTTCAACCACCTCCACCCCCTCCTACCACCATTAAATCTATCTTGAACTTTGGTCAAATATATTTAGGAAACTGCTAAGGTGATTATATGGATACCAGAGAGAGAGATCACTGTAACAGTTAAGAGTTGAAACTTATTGCCTGGATGTAAATCCTGGCTCAACCACATGTCTCTTGTGTGTCCTGTGACAAGTTACTCAATTTCATGGTTTCATTCCTTGTAAAATAAAGACGTTTATTTCATAGGTTGGCTCAATTAATTGAGTTAAAAATGTATAGCACGCTGCAATGTTGTCTAGAGCACACCAGGCACTCAACAAGGGTGAACTAGTATTGTCTTCTCTAAATGTGTTTACTTGGTGTATACATTAGCATACTTCTTGGTAATGACTCACTCTAGTAATGGGATGAATCCTATTTGACAGTGGTGAAATACTATTTTACTGGATTACTAAGTATCATTTGCTAATATTTTAAAGTTTCACATCAAATTTTCAATTTTAGTACTACTATCTTAATGTTCAAGTCTAGGCACCAATGTTTCTGGTTTTGTAAAAAAGATTCTGTCAGTTTTTTTTTCCTTCCTTATGCTGGTGAGCAATCTAAAATTATAAAAATTGGGTCTCCCTGGTGGGGCAAGGGGTAAGCACAGCACTATGAAGCAACTTGCAGCCTCTGCAGTGCGGGTTGGATTCCCGGCCAGCCAGGGAGATACCCACATGGTGCAGCAGACCTCTCCTGTCTCGCCTGCTGCTCCCCTCAGCAGTGTACTTCGGTCCATCTGCCTGTTCTGTTCCCCGCTCTCTCTCTGGTGAATCCTCTTACCATCCAGTGCCTCTGAGCTGTACCCAGTTCTTGTATAAAAATAAATAAATCTTTTTTAAAAATTAAAAAATAAATTATAAAAAGGTCTGGTTTGGTCTTTTAAAGCACTTGCTGTGTTATAAATAGACTTGAAAATCTTGTGTACTTGAATTCGTTTTTTCTTGGGAAGGGTAGCCAATTTACCTGGTTTACATTCCCACCACCCCAGCAAAGTACCAGCTTTGAAATTACCGATTTTACTATTTTCCAGTCTTTAAATTTTTCCCTTTTTACTCCTTTGTCTAGGTTTATTTCATTATAATTTCTTGAGTTAGATGCTTGTTTTTATTTACTCCTTGTTTCATAATTTGAATGGTTATGGCTATGTATTTTCCTTAGAACAAAACTTTGATTACTACTTCTTAAGACACTGGAGAATTTTAGTCAAATCAAAAGTTGCCTTGCCATCTGTATAATGTCCTTGCCACAGTGGATCTGATTTAGGATTATATGCACCCCTTTCCAGAGCCCCAGCCTGTTTTGGCTTTGTGTATCTTGTATTGTTACTTATGAGCAGGAGAAGAGCATCTCTCTAGTGGCCCAGAGGAGAGACCCTATGAGGATGGATCCTGGTATCTGACAACTGTCCTTGGTCTCCCAAGGTTCACTGACAAAACCTTATGCTGACTTTCATTGATGTGAAAACAAAGCAGCAGCAGGGAGCTGAGTTCAAACTTCTTAGAGGTCTTCTGACCACAAGAGGATACTTGTCAGACATCATAAGAGTCTGAAATATCTAGGCTGACTGACAGTCTAGCCACTGACGGAAAAATGAAATAGCCACTTCTAAACGCAGTCATCTTTAAGCCAGATAATGCTGAATTAGTTTGTGGAAGGAAAGAAATGAGAACGTACAGTGGCCATATTACAATAAGAAATGTTAAAAATGCCCATTTTATCCTAAAATCGTAGTCAATTCTAAATAAAAAGGATTTTCTAGCACAGATATGAGAAAGCTATAGCTCTGAGATGTAACCATCCGTGGTCTGTAATTGTGTTATTCTAATTTGCTATTCTGTATCTTGAAAAGCATTTTTGCCAAAAAAAGGCCAAACTTCCTTCTTCATATCTATTCATACTTTAGTACTTTTATAACACTAAGTCACACTTGTAGATTCACTTTTGAAACTGTTAACCTGTTGCTGACTTTACTGTGTCAATGCACGTTTCAACAGCTGCTTCCCTTAATTCAAGGTACAACTTAAGTATGTCAGCATTTCTTTACACATCAGTTTTAGGAAGTGATTTATCTCTTTTGAGAAGAAATTAAAAAAACAACAAACCATAGCTTTATTTGTTTAAAACAGACCTCCTACCTATTACAGTGTACTCTTAACCAAGGAAAGAAATTTATTTTTAGTTAAAAAAAAAAAATACTATAGCTGTCTGAGAAAAAGTTTGTCAGGGTAGAGTTTGATCATATTAATCACTGAAGTCTTCTACATCCTTCCTTCTGACTGTTTCAGCTGGAAGGTATGAGTTAACAACTCTTGTAAGTACTGCACTTGTCAACCTGCGATTAGCCAACACTTAATAAACAACTTAGCAAAGAAATACTTTACAGCTAGGTTACATTCTGCTCTTCAGTTTCACAACAATGTTAAAATTAACAAAAATATTCAGATCAGAGAAGTCTGATCCCCTATATTTAAATCATATTGGGATAGTGGCCCTGCACTGGTCCCTTAGAGAGAAGTGTCTCTAGGCTTATTACAGCACTAAAGTGGATAACCAAGGAAGGGGACCCTGTGCCAGCAAGGCTGCTAGTCAGGCAAGCAATAGGAAGATCCCACCCCTATCACCCGCTGATGGCTTGTTTCCCACCACAAAGGGTGGAGACTAGGGGTGGAGGCCTGTGGGTGAGGCCCATTCCACTAGCCTTGTGCTTGGTGCATACTCCACGGAATTTCTCAGATGGTATGGTATACAACTGCCAGACCAATGGCAGGCCTCCCAGCTCCCAAATTTCACTTTAACGCACATAGGATTACACAATATACTGCAACAATTTATGGATGTAGTAAAATTTTGTTTTCATACACTGAACACGTAACATTTTAATTCTAAAGTCGCATAACAATGTATGTGCCTATATTATTTGTGCTCTCAAGCAACACAATTTTGTGAACATTCATTTTTTATTTTTATGGGAATGCTACTTGCATCACATTACAAAATTTTCAGAATCAAGTTACTTTATCCAGTTTGTCATGACTCCAGTATAAAGGGTACTGCTATTAAACAGATAATTGTGGCTAACAGAAGTTAGTCATTTATTGCTCACTATTTTGAGTGAACTATTTTAAGAAATTTTAAGGATATTATCATACTTAAAAAAAAAAAATAGGCCTGAACACAGGGAAAAAGGAATGTTATGAAGCCCTTCTAGATTTCATAGACTTAAAAGTGTCCCTCCAGTTTTATGCTACACAAGAATGGTGTGAATAGATTATTAATTTAACAAGAGAAGGAAGGATAGTATATACAATATTCTAGGGCAATGGAGTTTGGAATTGTGCATGTTTTTACCATGAACATGGCTTAATTTCTTTGCTGACCTGATCTCTATAAATTCTGGATAATTCTTTGCAATTTATTGCAGAATTTATTTATCATAATTTTACACTTGTTACATTTTACCTAAAAACCTATTTCAACCTCAGGAAGCAAAGTTTCATGAAGCTGACTTTCAAACTTTTAACACTCACTGTAATTTACAGTCTACATGGATAAACAAGACCCCGATATGACCTCGGCACAAAGGTCTTTGTGCAAAAACTGGGGAGAAGGCCATTTTAATTCTCAATGGATGTGCACTCCCAAGTCAACAGGCCTGAGTCAGCATTCAGAACAAAATAAGCCTGGATTCTAGCCCTAGTTACCAAGCTATTTTGCTGCTGCAAATACAAAGCAATGTCTATAACTTAAAAATTCACTTTTCTGGACTTATTATAATTATACCCTACCAAAGAGAAAACAGGGAAGTCCACTCCTCTTAGGAAATAAGTCTGATTTCCCCCCAAAAAATACATTAAGATGTGAGTCCAGACCTAAAAGCGCCTTGTACTCTGGAACCACTAGAACCTTCTGGTTTTATGGACTCCTCTCACCGAAAAGCCGTAGGAGGTTCAACCCGGCCGGGTCACTGCTCAGCGGCAGATAAACAAATGAAAATGAAGAACCGCCGTGCAGAGCTGAACCAAACAACATAAAGATTATATCTGCCGAAAGGGCAAATACTACTGAGGAATCGAGATGCTCTATCTAGCTACGCTCACCACCAAATAACTGGTTCAGACACTTAGAATAACGCCGCCTCTGACCCCTCGCCACCACGACCCCAGGACCACCTCCCCAGCCCAGCAGCAAAAGCCTCAGACAACGGAATCTCCCACAGCGCGATGCAACATGGTGTCGCAGCACCGCCTGGGAGGATGGCTGCACTTACCTCTCTCCAGGCGCCCGCTCCCTCAACCTGTGGCCAGGAAAAAGGAAGGGGGCTGGCCACGACGGCCTAGACCGCTTCCCTCTCTGACATTCAACAGAGTCAAGGGTTCTGGAAGTCCAGACACCGAGGGGCAGGGGCCCTTTCGCGTTCCAGTGCCGCCAGCTTCGCCTTCCTCGGGCGCAGGCGAAGCCCGGCTCCTCCCCGCTCTGCGGCTCGTGCGCGCCGGGGACGCGCCCGACTGCAAACACAGCCCCCTTCTCTGCAGAGGGTCACCCCAGCAGCCCGACGGGGCCTCTAGGCCAGCACGGCGGCAGGCGAGAGAGACGCGCGAGCGGAGGACCCAGCCCGCGCGAGGCGCCAGCCCCGGCCCCCGCCGCGGCGGGCCCCACCCGGGACGGGGCGCGCGTGAGCGGCCGGGCGCGCCGGAGGCGCAGTGCGCGCGCGAGGAGGAGCGGGCCGCGGCGGCCGCGCCACAGGGCCAGCGCTGGGCGGCCTCCTCGGACCCGCCTTCGTGCTTCCACGCGGCGGCCGGGGGAGCCCGGTGCGTCCCTCTCGCCCCGCATCCGCACTCACCCATCGCCGCGGTCCCCCGGCGCCCAGGCTGCTAACCGCGCGCCCGCAGGTCGAGCCCGCGAGCCAGCGAGCCCGCCAGCGAGCCCCCGCGCAGGCGCAGACCTTCACTGACCCCCAGGGCGTGGGGCGGGGCGTGACGCTCTCGACGCCGTCCCAGCCGCGTCACGTGAGGGAGACGCCGGCGCTCCGACTCACCCTCAGCCCGCAGATAGGGGACACCGGCCCCGTCCGCCTGCCCGCCTGTTGCCGCGGGCAGGTTGGGGATCACCCGTTACTTCTGCCGTTACCTCTGCCGGAAATCATCGGGGCTCCGCCGGGTGGACTCGCCGAGCCGTGGTGCACTACGGTGGCCTCACCGTGCCAGAAACAGCCAACGCGTTCTTGGGCGTGCGCTTTTCAGGAGGACCAGAGGCAATTAAGTTGGAGGCGGCGAGCGCTGAAGACTTGGAAGTGTCCCGCCTAGGTCCCCTTTGTAACCTCGTTAGATTTCATTCAACTCCGAGTAGCCAACTTAGGAGTATCCAACTCATCGATGCCACGGTTCAAAGAACACCTGTGTGTGCTTTGGGTATTACAGATAACTCATAAACCCTGTTTCCTTTCAACCTCAAACAACTTGAGGGTCTTGGATTCCAGTGTGCCAGGCCTATTGGCCTGGAGCCCTGAGTCAGGTCACAAAGCCTTGACAATTCCTGGGAGTGTTCTTTGAGAAGTTAACTGGTCCATGGGCCTGAAATCCCTGTCTGAAAAGTAATGTCTGCTTTGCAGGCATCCCTCAGCCCTCCTAAAAATCACTGAGAATAATGGTCTGACTGTAACTTGTGAACTGGAAGGTATAACCCAGATGTGAGGAATTGAGAAAAACTGAAAAGTCAGTCCAGTGGGAAGGGGCTCTTTAGGAGGTTCCTCAAATACGTGAAGTGAATTGCACTTCTCTTTCTCGGGGTTAATCTGAAGGGTAACTCCACTGGGTAAAGTATCAAGGGATCAGCTCTAAGTGCAGACACGTGGCATCTAATTAGTGCACAGAGATAGATTTGGGGCTCCACAGGTCAAGGCAAGACCACAAAATTGTTTGGAATGAGCAGCAGGTGGGGAAGGGCCTTCAAAATTATGTTTTCCCTATCTTGTGTGAAGTCCTATTCAGATGTATTATTCGAAGAATAAATAATCCAGGCTGGCATTCAACGTGTTTATAAGCATAAATAATTTTTTTCAGACCAGAATAGAGAGTTTATTCTACTGTGGTAAAACCTGAAGAAGAGGAAAAGATGGAAATTAGACACACAATTGGGACACAACATATCAAAAGAGGGAGGAAATCCCAGACCAACAGGAACACTCATCTGAAGCTGAGCCAGACCATTTCTCTTAGGCTGCAGGCCACAGTGCTGGCCTCTGTCCCTCTTAGTTCACTGTCAAAAATCCTCAGACCCTTAGTTGATTCTGCTTGGGCATCTGAATGTTAGCTTTTTTTTAACTTAGGATTTGTCATAAAGTTAGCTTTTCATTTCTCTCTGTCCCCATCTACCCATTTTTTCGTCCATTATTCAGTCTCTTAAATTGCTCTCCAGTCTCCATATGAACTGTCAGATAATATCCTCTAATCTAATCTCTCATTATCTCACTCCAAATCTTAAAACTCTCCAATGATTCCTTCTTTTTTTTTAAAGATTTATTTATTTATACAAGAACTGGGGTCCAGGCCAGAGGTGCTGGGGGGGGGGGCGCGCGGTGAGGGGATTCACCAGAGACAGAGCCGGAAACAGAACAGGCAGACTGAGGAAATACACTGCTGAGGGGAGCAGTGGGCACAGCAGTGGGCAGAGGTCTGCCTTGCCACGTGGGCATCTCCGCGGCTGGCAGGGATCGAACTGGCGGCCGGTGGGGATCGAACTGGCACTGCAGAGGCCAGAGGCTGGGGACAGCTTCACAGCACTGCGCTCAGCCACCTGCGCCACCAGGGAGGCTCCAGTGATTACTTCTTGCCTCCTTTAACTTGGCAGAGTATGCCTTTGTCCCGCCCCCTATCTGTCCACCTCACCCTCATTGGGTGCCACAGCCATGTTCACTATGACGGTATTGTGCAAATGCTTGTGCTGTTTCTCATTTCTCTGCCAATCAAACATGTTAGCCTTTCAAGGTCATTTGCCTCCTCCTCTAAAACACTTGTCCTAGTCACCCCAGGCAAAATTGATTGCTCTTACCTTTGCCTTCCCATAACAGCTCTGTTGGGGCAGGCCTAACATTCTGCCTTATGTTGTAGGCACTCATGAAGGTGTCTCCCTTTACCACTATCCCCAGGGGTGTCTGACTTGTTTCTGGTCCTTGGGAAAAAAGGGTGTTTGTCCAAATAAAATGCTGCTAAAGGGGACCTGGGTTCTTGTGAACGAAGACATGGGGATACTGTTGGTGGATATTGCTTAAATACTCTCCACTCCCCCAAAATGCTTTCTAGACAGCCATCTAGTGCCCTCGCACTCCATGGGCCTTTATGTCCACAAAAATAGCTTTGTGCAGGGACCTGCCTGGTGGCACAGGGGTTAGAGACAGCGCTATCAAGCTATTGCCAGCCATTGCAGCACAAGCCAGCCACTGTAGCACAAGCCAGCCACTGCACACGTTTGTTCCCTACCCAGGGAGCAAGCAGACTTCATGGCGCAGCAGACCTCTTCTGCCTTGCCTGATGCTCCCTCAGCAGTGTATTTCAGTAGATCTTCCTGTTCTGTTCCCCACTACCTCTGGTAAATCCTCTCACCCCCCACACCTCTGGCTTACACCCTATAAATAAATCTTTAAAAAAAAAATAGCTTTGTGCAAGCTCAGGGGAGTCTGCTGCTATGAGTATCTCTGCCCAGATAAGGTCACCTGTGGTCATTCCCTAGCAAGGGGTCAGTGACCTTGCTTTCTCTTCAACTCTCATTTCCCCTGGCCTCTGCAATCGTTGGCCTATCTCTGCCACTCCCTCTCGCACACCCCCAGGCTCCAACAACAGGTCAGCCACTGCTGGTTTGCTTCCCTGAACTTGCTGCTTTCTTTAACAGGCCCCCAAACTGCATGTTTTTTGTCCTTTGTGCCTAGAAAGCTCTACCTCATTCATGTCAAACTCCTGTTCACTCTTCATTGCTCAGTTGATACAGAGGCTTTTTGCTGCTTTCCCTGACCTGACCTCACTGGCTGACCCTGCAAAAGTTCCCCCATGGTGCTGGAGGAGAGGAAAGGAGAGGGATAGGGTATCCTCCAACACATTCAACCTTACTGTAGCCATGACAGTTCTGGTCTGTGAGCTCCAAGATTTGCTCCCTTTCTCCTTCACTATTTTTAAAACCCACATCAATTTAGCAACTCGCATGCATCTATATATCACACCTATAACAGAGACAGAGTTTTTTACCCCCACAAGCCCGGAGATGGTCTAGTCTATTTCACTTATTAATTTATTTTCAAGCTGATGGAGACCCATTAAATCAGTGAGTTTCAGCCTCGTTTTACATTAGAATTATCTGGGTAGTTAAAAAGAAAACAAAAAAATCAAAATATCATTCCACACCCTACAATTGATTGATCTGAGTAGGGACTTGGGCCTTAGTGTTCAGTCCTGTTGATTCCACAGACCTGCTGTACACAGGCATCACTGGGGAGCTTGTTAGAAATGATTTCCTGGCACAGAATCTGTATTTAATGAGACCACTTGACAGATTGAAAAGCTGGTGACTAGAATCTAGAAAATCTTAGGTCTGGTCCCAAGTGAGACCTACTACAAAATCAGAATTTCCAGGGGATGGGCTGTCATTAACACAAACTCCAGGTGAGTCTTTTCTGGCACTATTGGGGAACAACATTTTTAAATTGATATCCTGATCCATAATAATGACCTAAAGTTTGAAACACTGGGGCCTGCAGGGCTCCGAATGTGAGTTGTAGAACCTGCTGGCCAGAGGGCAAGTCAGAACTCAGTACTAAGTAAAGATAATCCATGCTTGAGACAGGCACACACCAAGCGCTGTGAGTGTTTGTAGGGGAGGAAAAATGCATTCGCTGAAATCAGGAAAGTCTGCCCAGCTGAGGCCATCCAGAAAAACATAACTAGTATTTAAATACCATGGCTCCAGAAAAGACATGGGATGGAAAGGAGTGTGTAAAGAGGATATACCAGGGCCTCCTTGGTGGCACAAGGGGTTAAGTCTCAGCGCTATCAAGCTATCAGCAACCACTGTAGCACTCCAGTTCTTACATATTTTGTCTTTTTTTAAAAAGATTTATTTATTTATTTATTTATGCATACAAGAACTGGGGTACAGGCCAGAGGTGCAGGGGGTAGAGGATTCACCAGAAACAGAGTGGGGAACAGAACAGGCAGACTGACTGAAATACACTGCTGAGGGGAGCAGTGGATGAGACAGGAGATGTCTGCTGTGCTGTGTGGGTAGCTCCCTGGCTGGCGGGGAATCGAACTTGTGCTGCAGAGGCTGCAGAAAGCTTCATAGTGCTGTGCTTAACCCCTTGAGCCATCAAGGAGGCTCTCTTGTATATTTTATTTAAAAGTAAATAAAATAGGGCCTCCCCAGTGGCGCAGCGGTTGAGCGCTGAGTTGTGAAGCTGCCCGCAGCCTCTGCAG